AAACTGTTGGTAAAAAAGATCCAGATTTCATGACATTGGAGAATCGTTAAAGGTCACAGAACAAAGTAAACGTCTAGCTACTTATCTGTTTAAATTCAGGAATTCTGGAATCAAAAAAATAATTCCTTTCATTTCATTAACACCATGAACTTTTTTCTTGTCTGCTTGTCTTATTAAACTGCGACTGATCTGTCTGCAGTTTGCGATGAGAGAAAATAGAACATTTCCTGCAGAGACATCACAGTTAAAAACCTTTTATCTGATTTTGGTTTAAAGCTCATGTTTTACACCATATTCATCCAAAATCATTGAAATTGCAGAGTAGTCACAAACTATCCAAAACCACAATAAATGAGTTAATAGCAGTTCTCTTACGAGGCCAGTTCAGGTCCATAATTGAAGAGCATTGCTGGTCCAGGCCCAAGACTGAATTGTGGAGGTCTGTCTTTCGACCAGTCACTGCTCACAGATAGACAGCTGGATAATGTAGACTGCAACTTCTGACTTCTGCTAACACAAACATATTTGTGATCGTAGGCTATCAGTCTCTTCTCTGATGAATTAGCTCTAAACACACAAACTGCAGCTACTGCAGAAAATGTTTTGCTGTCAGTAACAGTGCTCTTAGATTATATTACAGTTTTTCTAGGTATCAGACAACTGCAGAGATGATCAGAGGAAAACGGGGCAAATAAATGTGTCATAAAAAGATTTTCAATGCCAGGAAATAAATTGTAGTCAAAATTCTGATACACAAAACTGATTTTCACAAATTAAAATTTGACAGAATTATTTAGTTTATATTCAATACATTCACTTTTTCTTACGTTGTTGGTCCAGGTTCATTACTGAATTGTGGAGGTCTGTCTTTGGACCAGTCACTCCTCATAGACAGACAGCCTGATACTGGAGACTGTGACCTCTGACCTCTGCAAACACAAACATATCGCATCAGTCTGATAAATTCTCTGATGAAATTCTTTTAAGCAGCACACATGCTGCAGGTGCTGCAGATCATGTGATAGTTTCCTGTCAATAATAGTCCTCTTAGATACTTAGGCAGCTAATTTCTAAACAAAAATAATCTATATCTAAAGGATATAGATATCTGATAATGATATCTATATCCTGCAGGACACTGGCCCTCGAGGCCTGGAGTTGCCCACCCTTGGTTTAGGCGATGCTAGTAAAAGCACGTGAGAAGTTAAAGGATGCCTTGAGAAATTATGCACATGGCAGAGTTTGGATGTTTTAAAAAGAGCAATAAAGGACAGAACCTGGCACTGGAAGGCAGGGCAAGGCAAGGCAAATTTATTTGTATAGCACAATTCAACAACAAGGTGATTCAAAGTGCTTTACAGAGACATTAGAAACAAAAACAAATAAAAAGCATGATTTAAAATTGATTAAAACAAGCAAATAAACTAACTAACTAATTAACAAACAAACAAAACAGTATATAAAATCAAAACAGATAAAATCAGAACAGTAGATAAAATCAGTAGTTAAATGTAAGTTTTGAAATTTAAGCTTAAAAGTGTGGATTTGGTGCTTTATTCAAATGCAGCTGAGAACAGGTGAGTCTTCAACCTGGATTTAAATAAACTGAGTGTTTCAGCTGATCTGAGGCTTTCTGGGAGTTTGTTCCAGATATAACTGGCAACTTGGTGCAGATGCAAAAAGGCTTTCTGCTGCATTTGCAAATAAGGGATAGAGCCAGAAACCCTGATGTCTCACTGCCGTAAAGAATGGCTGCAGCTTAGCATATGGAGATTAGATGGGGAGAAACTGGCATCCCAGTGGTAGAAGAACTTGCTTCTGCATTAGCAAATGAGAACTGGGCATCCTTGTATCAGGAAATTTGCTGCTGCATTTGAGAATGACAGATAGAGAAGAACCTGGCATCCCAGTGCAAACTTACTTGTGCACTTTGTGAAAGGAGGAATAGAAAACATCAGATGGCAAGCAGAGCAACTGATTTCCAGCTTTGCATTAAATGGTTTTAGGAGGCAGGTGCACAGAACCAAGCTTTGTCAGGTTTATATGGTTGATTGTCATTTATGCTTAGAAATATTTACTCATATATGCTTAGAGTTTATAATCAATGTCATATTGATAGAGGTCTGATCCTTAGTAGTCTGCAAAGACTGTGTGTGCATTCCAGAGTGTTCTGGCATTCACACCGCTTAAGGTCATGAGAGAGGTTAAATCTTCTCTTGCTGATACATGGTATGGCAAACACACGTATATCTGTATTAGTATAAGTGCCTTCTGTTTAGATGGACTGCTGGACTTCCAGACCAGCAGGATTAGGGAAGTCGTTTATGGGGTCACATCTTGAAACCTCCCCCCACACACACACACACGCACACAGAGGGTACTCTTTGTTCACATGTGTACCTATGTTAATGAACCTATGCATATTCATGTAACCTCAATAAAAGAGCAGTGTTACGAGGGAGCGGACGAGAGTCTGATGGAGGTCAAGTGGGCTGAACGACACTCAGCTCCGGTTGGGTCTCCCTCATGCATAAAGAACTTTGACTACTTGGTGTTCAAAGCTGTTGTATTTGAATTCTCTCGTTCCAGCGGCGGGTTTGTGTTAGGCAGACCCATCAAGCTTGTCCCTGCTACCAGACACTGATGGGTGGGTGGAGCTACTTCTATACAAGCTACTGCAAGCAGTAGCTTCTGCCTTTGCAGCTGCAATGTTGCTTCTGCACAGAAGAAGACTTTGGATTTACATTTAGATGTGCAAGGTTAAGATGCGGTTGAAACTGGGCTACAGCCGTGTTTCATGGAAACAGATGTACTGTCATGAACAAACAGTCTATTTACAAACTGGATTCATGCCAAGAAGATGGTGTGCTTGGAGTTGGGGTCGGCTGAGTAAGGCATCTCTGTCAGAAGAAGGTAAACACATATTGTCTAAGAACCAGAACGTTGAAACCCACATCCTCAGGGACATTCACTAACAACTGTGCAATAGTAGAAGTTATGCAAAAAGAGAAGCAATTATTCCAATTTTAAGAGCAATGACTGTTTACAAATAATTTATGTCAGTTATAGAATACCTTATTCATAAACAACATTTAAACACTGACACTGAATTTTCTTACGTTGTTGGTCCAGGTTCATTACTGAATTGTGGAGGTCTGTCTTTGGACCAGTCACTCTTCATAGATATACAGCTGGATGTTGGAGACTGTGATCTCTGACCTCTGCAAACACAAATACATTTCTGATCATATCCCATCAGTCTCTCATAAATTCTCTGATGAAATTCTTTTAAGCAGTTCTCAACACACTCATTGCAGCTGCTACAGATCACGTGATAGTTTCCTAGTTCTCTTAGATTAGATTACAGATTTTCTAGGTGACTGATCAAAGGCCAACCCATTCTCGGAAAATTCTACGCTAAGTGACAAGTTGTCATTATATTACGCTTCCAGGCGCCCAACACGTCCCTATATTACGAGATCAGAAAAATGAGGAAACATGAGAACCGTGTGGAATGAATCTACACATGCACGTTCGTTTCACTAAAATCGCTTTGGAAAACACTATCTAACGTCATTAAAGTGCTGGTCAAAATTAGGGATAAGGTTATGGTTAGGGCTGGAATACATGGCTGGAATGTGTATTGCCGCGGGAGCATCATTCTGCTGGATTTCATCCATAACCCAGCATGAAGCATCGCGTTCGGGTCTTGACAAATCATCACTATATTATGCCTCAGGAGTGAGAACAGGCTGCAGCTGCAGACGCATTCAGAGTGAAGCAGGGCAAATGAATAACGTTTGTCAGTTTAAAAAAATCTATACATTGTAGCCTAAATTCTAACACATAAAACAGATTCGCACAAATTCTAATGTAACTGGGAAATTATTTACAGTTTTAAAGTTCCGTTTTCTTACATTGTCCGTGCAGGTTCATTATGAAATTGTGGAGGTCTGTCTTTGGACCAGTCACTCCTCACAGACACACAGCTGGATGCTGGAGACTGTGACCTCTGACCTCTGCAAACACAAACATCAATAACTGATCAGTTCTCTCTGACAGCCATATGATCAGCTGATCGCGGCGAGCTTTGTATCGCTGCTGCTGCGGCGGCTGCCTGGCGGAGATCTCCGTCTGCTATCACTGTGGCGTGGAATCCCGGGAAAAGACGCGGTCTGCCAGCTCACGAGCTTGTGACGCATCCTTGGCTCGGCTCAGTTCATCAATAAAGCCCTCATAGCAGCTGAGCTGGCGAAGGAAAGGGTTTCCCTCAACTATTGCCCTCATGGCATTAAGTCCGACAGAAATTGTCCATGAGTCCGAGGTGTGGGTTATTTGCCTAACCAGACTCTGTACACGGAGAATTTCTTCCTCACGGGTGGAGCCTGCTGGGTCCATTTCGTGGTTGCGTCGTTCTGTCATGCGGCGGCCTTGTGAAGGCAAGAGAGGACCCAAACGCACGGCTCAAGACATGCGGGATAAACTCAAAGGCAGGTCTTTATTAATAGGAACATAAGAAGTCATACAAAACTATACTGGGAGAAACTAAAGCTGAGGCGCTGGGAAGACACGGGGAAATGCACACAACCTAGAGGGACGACGCAACACGGAACAAAGGGATACTCTGACATAAATACACAGAAGGTAATGAGGGAAGTGGGAACACATGGGGAGCACAGCTGAGGACAATTACTCATGACAGAGCGGGGAGGACACGAAACTGAAAATACTGACACCAAGATGTGGACCTTAAACACAACACAGAGTACACAGAGAGGAGCACAGAGAGAGGCAGAGAGAGAGGCAGAGAACAAGAAGGAATACACGAGGGGATGAGGAGAACACAGAACACAAAGGATGGGAACACAGTACCAGAACAAACACCACAATATAAGCACGGACACAGGGGGAATCCAAATACCAAACCAAACAATCCTATGAACATAAAGAACAAAATACAAAACCACAGGAAAACTAAGAACACTGGGTCAAAATGACCCAGGACCATGACATTTGTTGTCAGAATCAGAATCAGAATGGGGTTTATTGCCAAATGTTGAGCAGGTTTACAACATTAGGAAATTGCTGCGGTGCTTCAGTGCAAACATGGTGTCATAAATAACACTTAAATAGACATGGAAAAAATAAAAGTAGGGATAAGAATTAAAAGTGCTACGTGGAAAGATATGTGCATGAGATATACATGAGATATATACATGAGAGTAAGAATTAAGAGTGCTACGTTGAAAGATATATACATGAGTGCAGGTGGTGATCAGTGCCAAACATGGAATGATACAGTGAACACAGCGTAGGGTCATGTGTTAGTGGCGGGGACAGTCATATGGTTATTGTTCATGTGTCCGACAGCAGAGGGGAAGAAACTGTTCTTATGGCGAGAGGTTCTGGTGCGAATGGACCGGAGCCTCCTGCCTGAGGGGAGCAGGTCAAACAGACTGTGTCCAGGGTGAGAAGGGTCAGCTGAGATCCGAGCTGCACGCCGCAGTGTCCTGGAGGTGTACAGGTCCTGCAGAGATGGGAGTCTGCAGCCAATCACCTTCTCAGCAGAGCGCACAACACGCTGCAGTCTCTGTTTGTCCCTGATAGTGGCTCCAGCGTACCACACGGTGATGGAGGAGGTGAGGATGGACTCGATGATTGCAGTGTAGAACTGCATCATCGTCCGTGTTGGCAGGTTGAATTTCTTCAGCTGCCTCAGGAAGTACATCCTCTGCTGGGCTTTCTTGATGACGGAGGTGATGGTGGGCTCCCACTTCAGGTCCTGGGTGATGGTGGTACCCAGGAAGCGGAATGAGTCCACAGAGGTGATGGGGGTGTCAGTCAGGATGATGGGGGGGAGTGGGGCTGTGTGCTTCCTGAAGTCCACAATAATCTCCACTGTCTTCTGGGCATTCAGCACCAGGTTGTTGTGGCTGCACCAGGACACCAGACGTTCAACCTCCCTCCTGTAGGCAGACTCGTCCCCGTCCGAGATGAGTCCAATAACGGTGGTGTCATCTGCAAACTTGATTAGCTTGACAGACTGGTGGGTGGAGGTGCAGCAGTTGGTGTACAGGGAGAAGAGCAGAGGAGAAAGAACACAGCCCTGAGGGGAGCCGGTGCTGATGGTCCGGGAGTCCGAGACATTCTTTCCCAGCCTCACATGCTGCTTCCTGTCCGTCAGGAAGTCAGTGATCCACCGGCAGATGGGATCAGGCACATTCATCTGGGAAAGCTTGCCTCGGAGATGGTCTGGAAGGATGGTGTTGAAGGCAGAGCTGAAGTCCACAAACAGGATCCTGGCGTAGGTTCCTGGGGAGTCCAGATGCTGCAGGATGAAGTGTAGGGCCATGTTGATGGCGTCGTCTACAGACCTGTTGGCTCTATATGCAAACTGCAGGGGGTCCAGGAGGGGGGCCGTGAGGGTCCTGAGATGGGAGAGAACTAGGCGCTCAAATGACTTCATGACCACAGATGTCAGAGCCACGGGTCTGTAGTCATTTAGTCCAGTGATCCTAGGTTTCTTGGGGACAGGGATTATGGTAGAGGACTTGAAGCAGGCAGGCACATGACATGCCTGCAGTGAGGAGTTGAAAATGCCAGAAAACACTGGGGCCAGCTCGTTTGCACAGTGTCTGAGGGTGGCAGGAGACACGCCGTCTGGGCCGGGAGCTTTCCGAGCATTCAGGTTCTTAAACTGCTTCCTCACATCTGCTTCATGAATATGAAGAGTTGTGGTGGGAGGAGGTGGTGTGAAATCCTCTTTTGTGTGGGGTGAGGAGGGGGGTGTTGTAGGTGAACAGTTTGAAGGTGGTGATGGCTCTATGGAGGGGGGAGAGGTGGGGGAATGAGTGTCCAAAGTGTCTCTATTGTTGGGGCCGTTGGAGGTGTGAAGGCTGCCTGATGGCTCGTCAAAACGACAGTAGAAGTCGTTGAGGGTGTTGGCTAAGAGCAAGTCGTCAGTGGAGTGGGGGGTTTTAGGCTTGTAGTTGGTGATATTCCTAAAACCTTTCCACACAGAGGCCGAGTCATTCTCTGAGATCTGCTGCTGCATCTTCTCAGAGTGCTGATGTTTAGCAATGTCCACTTCTTTAGTGAACCTGTACTTGGCCTCTCTGTAGCAGTCCCTGTCTCCGCTTCTGAACGCCTTTCTCTTTTCCAGCCACAGCTTTTTGAGTTTAGGAGTAAACCAGGGTTTGTCATTGTTATAACTCACCCTGGTGCGTGATGGCACAATGCTGTCCTCACAGAAGTGGATATAGGAGGTGACAGTGTCCGTAAACTCGTCCAAGCTGTTAGAAGCAGCCTTCATTGTGTCCCAGTCTGTAGACTCCAAACACGTGCGAAGCTCCTCCACAGCCTCGTTGCTCCACAGTTTTTTAGTCCTCACGACAGGTTTGGAGAGCTTCAGCCTCTGTCTGTACGCGGGGATTAGGTGGATCATGACGTGGTCAGAAAGTCCGAGTGAAGCGCGGGGCACCGCGCGATAGGCCCCGCTGATCGTGCTGTAACAGTGGTCCAATGTCCTCTCCTCTCTGGTCGGGCATTTAATATACTGCTTGTATTTGGAAGCTCATGGCTCAGATTGGCTTTGTTAAAGTCCCCAAGAGCAATGATGAGAGAGTCCGGGAATGTCCGCTCCATGTGGAGAATCTGCTCCGCGAGTGCGCACTGAGCTGCCTGCGCATCCGCGTCTGGCGGGATGTAAACAGCGGCCAGGATGAATGAAGCAAACTCCCGCGGAGAATAAAACGGTTTGCAGTGGATAAAAAGATATTCCAGAGAGGAAGAGCAGTGCTGAGCAATCACTGTCACATCTGTGCACCAGCCACTATTGATGTAGAAGCAGAGACCTCCACCTTTGGACTTACCGGAGAGAGCGGCCTGCCGGTCCGCGCGCAGCAGATGGAAGCCCTCCAGCTTGAGCGCGCAGTCTGGGATGTTCTCACTGAGCCACGACTCCGTAAAACATAAGACACAGGAGGAGGCAAAGTCTCTGTTCATGCTTCTCATCAGGGCCAGTTCGTCAATCTTATTCCCGAGTGAGCGTACATTAGAAAGGAAGATCCCAGGAAGAGCAGTTCGCAGTCCGCGTCTCCTCAAACGCACGAGTGCGCCGGCTCGCTTCCCTCTCTTTCGGCGTCTCGCTTTCCTGGTCAGAGTCAGCAGTAAATCTGCCGCAGATGCGACAAATATTGGAAATAAATCCACAGGCGTTGTAGTCCTGTAGTTAAGGAGCTCTTCTCTGGTGTACGAATATCCAGAGGAGTGCCCAGACACAGAAGAAATGCACAAAAACAAAACAAAAGTAACGCACTGAAGCACCAGGGCGACCATCCGCGGCGCCATCTTGTCCACATTGTCAAGCTTGTGTGTCAATTCTACATCTCTCCATGTTTTCTGTTTTATTTTGAAGAGTCTAGTGTTTCCATGTTCAGTGTGTTTAGTTTTACTTCCCCCGTGGCATCATGTTCATTTGTGTCAAGTGTGTCTCCCCATTAGCCTCCTGTGTATTTAAGTCCTCTGTCTCCTTCTGTTCTTTGTCGGGTCATCTGTTTATGTCATGCCAAGCCAGGTCAGGTCACAGAGTCTTGTTTTCTACTGTTCAAGTTCATGTTCATGTGCAGGTCAGGTTTAGTTTTCTTCACGTTCACGTTTCACATGTTCCTGTTCAGTTTCATGTTCTAATTATCCTATTTGCTTAGCTGCTCCCTGTTTAGGTTTAGTTCAGTTTTCCCTCATTTTGCTGTGTTTTCTGTTTATGTAATCAGCTACAATAAAGGCTTGCTTTTTGTTATACCTTGGTTCATTTATCCCGTGTCTGCTTTTGGATCTGCTCCATAAATACATGACAGGTGGACTCCAGCTTACACTGGAGCAGTTTGCAGCCGCGTGTCATCTGGTGGGAATTAGAATGAATACCTCCAAGTCTGAGGCCATGGTCCTCAGATGGAAAAAGGTGGAATGCCCACTTAGGACAGCAACTTGTCCCTGACCCTGTGTAGAGCGGTTTAATTATCTCAGGGTCATTTTCATGAGTGAGGAGAGAGGGGAGCACGAGACTCCCTTTTGTGTC